TGTTTAAGCAGCACTCTCACCAGTGATCGTGTTAAAACCTACTCCCACCTTATTTTGCATCACCAAACAAAGCTTATTGAATCCATAAAAAGTGATTTCCCTTGTGCCATTTAGCCTTCCCAAATTGATTACAACTAAATCTCTGGGAGACAAAACAACTGCTGGAGAATAGATGAAAAGTTTATTTCCTGTGTTGACTAAGTTAGGGCTTGGCTTTAGATGCAAAAAGCTGACAATTTAACCTTTGCATGTTATGCCTAAAGAAATGCAACTGTTAATGTGTTGTAAAGGCAGAAAGAAATCAAGCTTTAACGGATGAAAGTCGTTGGCTGTAAATAGATATTGTGTTTGTTATGTTACAACAGGTTACAAGTCCTCGGTGGTGATAGAAAGGGTATATTGATTCTCCATGGTGAGGTCCTCCTCTTCATTCTGGTCCTGTACACAAAGACAGATATAAGACATCTCATAGGCCACAGTTACAAGTAAATCAACATTTCCAATCTCACTTTAACAATACGAGAGCAGCACTTATTTATAATGTTTCCTCATCAATTGTGCTGCACCTTTTATTAGTCAGCTCAAATGAAATGATCACATCAGTGTTATTTCTGTAATATAAACCAGTGAAGTACTAAACAGGGTGTAAATGCTTTTGAAACGATATATTGCACATTGGAAACTTTTTTTTTTTAACACAGTTTTATGTTTATTGATTTTACTGAGACATTAACTCAGATTTGAATGACGAACAGCGTTATAGGTTGACGTCAGTTTAAGTCTTTTTAACTGGCCACAGCAGACGTGTGCACCGTGTGAAGTAGACCGCATGAGTGAGGGGTTTAATGTATGCTTTTCTTAAATATAGATTTATCAAGATTCCTACTTGCTTCACTTGTGTCAGCAACAATTTTCCTTTCTTATTTCAGCATTTTATTCTATCTTTTATTGTTCTGCTTTGAGGGACATGTATAATACCGAGTTGAAGGCTTTGTTTGCAATGAAACCTGCACTTAGATGGATACATTCTCATCTTACATGATCCAATACCACATAAATTACAGCCTCTACAAGCAGATGTTTAATAGTCTATAAAACAGATGATTAAATCTAATTCTTAATAATGAAATACTAGCATAAAGTGATTTAAGTGCTTAGATAAAAACAGAACTCTATAAAACACATTAACTATTTGAGGCAATATTGCACCAAGAAACTATTTAAAATTAAGTTTGAGTTTCTAAAATACGTAAATATTAAACAAAGTGAATAAATATTAAAAAAGAAAACATGAATTATTTCTGAAATGTTGAGATTTTTGTATTAAACAGACTTTTACACAAACTGGCGCTTATCTGTTCTAAACTTTGCAGTCCTGGTAAGAGGCTTGATTCAAGGTAAATCATTGAATTCAAAATGTTTAGACATTTAGTTATCTAAGTAGAAATGTTTGGTTTCTCAAATGTAATGTGCTGCGACATAAAGTAAAAGAAAGATAAAAAAAAAATGCTGATTTGCCTAATATTCCTCTTAATTTGCAACAAATAATTAACCAGAATACACATTTTAACTATTAACTTTATTTTTTGTCATTGTGCCTCAACTTTACAAACTGTTTATTGGTATTTTCAGTAATTTTAATATGCTGAATATTAAAATTAATTTGAATATTTCACACTTTCAAACAAGTGTGAAATCAAATGCAGTCTATAGAGAACACACACTGTAATGTCTGTGAACCCTGTCAGAAACAAAAAACTCTAAATGTTGGTCGTTGAAGCAAACACTGTTCTGTTCATTATCTGATTGTTTGGATATCTGGTCTTTAAAAATGCTCATGCTAACGGGTCTAAGTGGCATAAACATAACCAGTGGGTACAGTAGTCCCTCGCTACTTCGCAGTTCGACTTTCGCGGACTCGCTCTTTCGCGGTTTTACAACGATTGTCAACTTTAATATTATTCACGTGATTGGGACAGTACAGAAGAAAAGTTAACGAAAAATTACTTTGGACAGGCGCCTCCATTTTGTAGTTTTCTTTCAGTAAGCCTATACTGGTAAGGCCAGTCAAAGAACTACATTACCCAGAAACCAACAGTGCTTCCAGCCACTGCTTTCTGACGAAAACGAGGGAAAGTTTTGATCAGATCTGAACCTGACTAAAAAAGTTTGGTCCTTATTCATAATGACTTTGGCGCTCAGTGGATGCAGTGAGCCACTCAAAACCAGACCAGAACTACTTGAAGCCTCATCGGTCAATCTGAGAGCTGCTTGCCGGCCCAGGAAGCCTCTCGAGCGGGGAGGTCTGGTGTCTTCTCTGGAGCTCACCCGGACTTTTTCATCCTGATTCCTCTTGATTATTTGGACTCGATCAGGACCATTGTGTGATTTTTGTGCTGGCTCTTCGAAGGTCCGGCTCTCTCCAAAAGTATCTCAACGGTTACAGAGAGCCCAGAACCGGACCAGAACCAGACCAAGGCTGGTGAGTTCCCATATAAATTTTGCAGTAGCTACTGTACAGTACACATAAGTATGTTGTTAAAATGACGTGAGTTTAAGAATTCATAACATTGCAAGAGTGTGGGACGGGTTTATAAAGCCTTAATAAATATATAAATACAAAAATAAATATAGCATTTCTACTTGGTGGTTTTTCACTTATTGCGGGGGGTGTCTGGAACGTAACCCCTGCAGTACTCGAGGGTCTACTGTATTCATGCTTGTGCTTGGCTGCTCGTACTTACTTCGGCTCTCTCTTTGTAGTCTTTTTCTGTGCCGCGATAGGACACCACATGTATCAGGGTGTAGACTCTGCAACAAAGAAGCACGGAGTATAAATAAATAACTATACATATATAAAAAACAAGAATTATGGGAAATGATAGCAAATAATAAAATGAGTTTCTGTTCCAATAACATAAAAATATGATCATAACTCTCCATGACTATGGTTAATTTAGTTAAAACTCCCAGCACTTTGCAAGGAAAATAATTTAGTAACAACTTTCTCTTGAACATTTCAAGTTGAATTAGGTTTTTTTTTTTTTTTGCATTTAAAAAATGTACCAAGACATATCTTCAAGGACAGTGAGTTATATATAAGTTAAGACAACTGCTGATGGATTGGTTGGGTGCAAAAAACAAACAAACAAAAAAACAATGTGATGTGGTGTTTGTGTACCTGTGATACAGCATGGCCAGAAACTGGACGAGGAGAAGAATGGCAAAGGACAACAAGAACATCAAACTGAGGGGCTCCACCTGTTAGAACAGAAATGACAGCACAACTTCAGTTTAGTTCTAATTACAGTTATGAGCTGTAAATAAAACTGTTTTTTTTTTTTTCACATCCCCACCTTGAGGTACTCTCCGGTATGATTTCCATCTGCAGTAAATTTGGGGATCTTAATGCTAATGACATCATTACCAATGGCCTGCAGGAAGAAGGTGGCTACCACCCACAGCACATTGATGATAAAGTACAGGAAGACCGCCTGTGGAATGAAACAACATGTAAGGTTTTTCTTATGTCCTAACACTAAATATAAATGGTTACTTCATCCACATATTAAGGAGCATTAAGTGTAGAACCACTAGACTGAGGAACAGCTTCTACCCTGAGGCTGTTAGACTCATGAATCTCTAACTAGAATAATCACTGTGAAAAACCATATCATGTTGCTGCTGATCTGTTTCATGTTGCTGCTGATCTGTTTCAATGTTGATGTGTTCATGCATGCACATCTGCTCACAGACTCATGTTCATGTTTGTGCTGATGTTCAATGTTTTATGTTATGAGTGCTTAGTGTATATTTAGTTGATGATTTTCTTAGTTCATATCTTAGATGTTATTACTGTTTTTCTTATACATTTTATTGTTGGATGTAACTGGGACCCCGTGTACATAATTTCGCTCCACCACATGTACCACATGAGGTGCGAATGACAATAAAGAAACTCTGACTCTGATATAATACTATCTTGACCTTTGACCCTCTGCACAGAGGCAACAATAAACTTTTTTTCTTCTTTTTTTAATTTTTATTTTTAAACTTTGTACGTTTCTGTATTGGATCCATCTCATCATCCCATTTCAACATTTACAGTATATAATACAATTCATGAAACAAACACAATAAACTGTCACATCTGTCATTAGAGACATAATAATATCCATCACATGTTGTTGCAATTCATTGTAATAAGATGCAGAATGTGTTTACCTTGTTGCGAAGTGACTTCAGTTCTTTGTCGACTTGCGCCTTGTGTTCATCTGTATCTTTGATCGGTGTCAGGTAACGCTCAATGAGCTTCGTCCAGAAGTCCTTCTCCTCCTGAATATGTAGATAAACACACACAGCTCTTTAAGATTTTATTTAATTAAGAAAAAAAAAATCCTGTATTGGTCTTTTGTATTAGTAAATAGCTTAATTTTGTGTTAGACTGAAGCACGGTGTATCTATTCACCCAGGCACTTGGTGGAGGGAGTGAGGATGATGTGTTAGCCAGGGTTTCACAGGGCCAACACAAATAAACAGACAAGCACACAACATCACACACACTTGTGGTCTATATTAACTAGAAAAAGCAGTATGCAGATGTCCCTGTCGCTGAGGGATTTGAACAGTGAATGTATTTTTGAGATGTGTTTTTTCTGAACTGGAATTTATCAGGGAATGCAAGTTAACCTTGATGTTTTTGGCGCAAGATATTCAAGTGGGTAGGAGAGAAGAAGGGAAGTACCACCACCAGGCGTTGTGACAGAGCCAGGAGGTGGCTCCACCATTGCATCTGGCCACAATAGATACATTTTCGGTCATGCCACTGGCCACCCAAATCATTTGAGAAAACTATACTTTTAAGCAATATAAAAATTAGAAAACTCAAATGATTGAGGTGGTAAGTTTACATATACAGTATGTATGGCAAAGGCCATCTTGGATTCTGACATGGGAACCCAATTTCCTACACCTAGATGCAGCCAAACACCAAAATGGAAGTTGGCACATTACTTATTTTTCAAGTTATCCAGCTTACAAGAGGGAATAAACACATAAGGTGGCAGCCATTTTGGATTTTGATGTGGTAATCCAATATTTGATCGGGACCATTTTTCCACTTAGATGCAGCCACATTCCAAAATATAACAACCAAAGTGTATGTGTACTGTAGAAGTAAAGCAATGTACCTGCTTTGATAACTCACCTCGTCTATTCTTCGAACTTGTGGGCCGGCAAGAGTTTTTTCAATGGCGACTTTAACTCTCTTCTCTAATTTAGGCAAACGATTGTTCTTAAGGATGTGACGTGCCTGAGGTGTAAACAAAGTCAATTACTCAGAGACAGTCATTTTATTTCTATATTACTTGTTAGGGTTTAAACTATTAAATGCATTAGAAAGAAATGAAGAAACATTTAAAAAGAGGAAAAAAATCATCTGATTTACTGCAGTCAAACTTATCACAGATTTAATAACAAATCTGATTGTTCAATTTTAACTAGTTAATTTATAATTACCTGTTTTGTCAGTTCATCTTGTAACATCTCTAACCTAGGTTGATCCAAAATGTCCTCAGGCCCCACATCTCTGAGCTCTGTGTTAAGAGAGTCGGTTAACATCAGCACCAACTCCTCACACACATCATCGTAAATTTTGTTGCGGAGTGTGTATCTGGGAAAAATACAGCAAACAAACAACTAGTTACTCAAGTGCAACTGAAAAATACAGATATACAGCTGAAAAATAGTAAAAGCACATTGAACGAAGAAAAACATGCGTTACTTGCTGCAATGGAAACTTATTCATAGATGTGCGAACCATTTAAACATGTGAAATCAAGATTTCAACATATCAAACCAGGATCCAAAAACAAAGAAAAATCTTAAATTACCGTATTTGTGCTTGTAGATTTCTCTTCATGTTGAAATAAGTGAGCTTCTTCAGAAACTCCTGTTTCACAGGCTCCACCCACTCTGCAAACGCAACGTTTACACCTTTATAGTACACTATATGTCGTACACGTTGTACATGATTCATGCATGACATAATGGATGAATCATGCTTTTCAGCAATGCGGACAATTAAAGAATTCAAGTTCCGCTCACCTTTGACAGTAACCTCTTCTTCCTCTAAATCACCGCAGTAGTTATCCCTGTCATCTTCGTCATCAGATAAATTTGTCAATGGGCTCTTTTTCTCAACAATGCCACTGTGTACAACAAACAAGTTTCTTCAGTTTGGGACTTGGTAAGTTTTGTATTCTCTTCAAATGACTGGCCATGAATTTGTTTCAAATAAGCAATCCATGAAAAGAGAAAAACAACATCAAAACATTGAATGCCGGTACCTGTCAGTAGTTGCAGCATCACTGCTTATTGACCCTTCCTCTTTGTTTTTATCAGCTAAATGATTTTTAGATTCTAGATCTTTTTCTTTGGTTTTAGGTTCAGCTTTTGATGCAGCCTGTAGAGGTTTTTCTTTCTTGCCGGGTAAAAGTGGAAGTGTTTGCTGGGTCATAGTTGTGATCTGCTGAAGCATGACATTGTCTGTTTCCTGGGTTACCTGCAAAGGCAAAAGAATACATCAATCCAGTCATACGCTCAGTTGAAATTTTTATTTACTTCTGTGTAGTTGTCAGTAAACTGTACTTGAATCTTCATGTCCCAGCAGCAGAGTTTACAGTCTTTCTTACACAGAACACTTTGGCTTTTCTTATCTTCCCCCACTCCCCTGAAAAAAGATACAGGATGAGCAGACAAAAAATAAATATTGAAAAGAATAAAATAAAGGTGGTAAATGATTTTTGGGATTGTTAGTTGGCTGAGAGATGCATGATTTTTACATGTTGGATTACTGATGCTCTTATTGTTATTTTGTAGAATGGCTTGAAAAACCAAGAGAAAAGCAGAGGCAAACAGGTTTCATCAGGTAAAATTCCCAATATTCCCCTTCTTAACAATTTTTTTGCCTTTTTAAAGTTTAGTTTGACAACTGATCGGCATATTAACACAAATGCAACAAATATTAGCTGTTGGATAATCAAATAAATGTTTCATAAATGTAAGCAGTAGTATGTTTTTAAAGCTAATAACATTCACAGATTACTTTTTTTCCCAGATTTATTTATTTTCTCATTTTCACCTAATTATTTATTACTATATATATATATATATATATATCTCAAAAATCTAGAAAGAAAATCTCGTAATTTTAATGTTCTTGTCAATACTGCTTACAAATATGCTTATTTTTGTATTCAACCAACATTGTTTTGCTGCTAGTTATTGTGACAGATGCAACCATGTGTTGCAATTGGCACAATGATGACACAAAATACTGTGACTGACGTAATGAAAAATCAAGATGCAGACAACGAAATGTGAAATTATCTTCAAAATGATTGAGAAATTAACAACTTTAATGCCTGGATCCTGCTAAACAAGATTCCATGCATCTGTTTAACATCATAATCAGTTAAACATGCAATAAATAAAAAGTGATTTGATAATAAAATTATATTTTTTGCAGTTTAAATCACAACTGCTTTGTTTATTAGTAATGATCATTGCAATACTTGTTGGACTCCCTTGTGCCCCAAGACACATTGTTCATGTTAACCAGTGAGTAGATGGTTAGTAGGAGGTATCCACTGGGAATACAGATGAAATACATCAGACCATAGATAATCAATCCTGAAGAAAAAAATAAAAGGGCAAAACAACGTAACTTTATTTTTGAAAACATAATATACCAGCACTGCACAACATAACCATTGGTGTTTTTTCTGAAAGGTACATAAAACAATGCAGCTGTTGCATTGACACAGTTAAACTGGTACAATTTCCACTAATATAGCGTTTTAAATTGGTGGGAAAAATCCACAACATGACATTATAAACTTACCCATCTCCTCTGGGTGTAATATAGCTGTCACCATGTACATAATTGCCATGGAAACCAAAAACACGCCAGTAGGGGTCAAGAATGTCCCCTGCACCACCATGTCACCTAAAAGAAGATTGCTATGAATATGTGTACATTCAATAACATTCAGTTAGAAACATGTTTCCATAGTGATAAAATAAAGTTATACCCACCAATGATGGAAAAAAAGGATGCAGTCATGAGGAATGCATAGAGAACACTCATAATGGCAGCAATAGTTATTTGGGTGTTTGCCTTTGTAACGAAACAGATGATGATGTAGAAAACTGGAGGAATGCATGCGATGATGATGGAAAGTGTACCAGCCATTTTCAAGATAAACTGAAAAGCTCCTGGTTGGAAATAATGGGGAAAAATCTGAGTGAATAATAAATAATAAACCAAAGTCTTTGTTAAAGTTATGATATAACATGCCAGTCAGTCAAAACTACTTGTTTATGTATAGGAGAGCACTATGATTTGTATCAAAACACTTTGTTTTAGAATAAATATCCAGCATGTTGAATAATGAGCCTGCATGCCATTTACTGACATTTGCCATCTACTGAAAAGAGTAAAGTAACAACATTCTCCCTGGAATTATATTTTGATTTTTGAGAGATGCAGCCAAAATGACAATTGCCTGTTTACTTAAAATTTTGTTACTGCCCAAATAATCAAGAACCTAATAGTCTGTGAGTGACAAGTTTGAGAAAACTTTAAAGATTCTGTGTCAAATGTAAAGAAAAAATATTGATACATACGTTTTTCAAAATTATTAACAGTATTCACTGTTCAGACCAAACACAATTCAGAACACTCATATGGTCAGGGAAGAACAAGGAGCTTTCTTGCAAGCCCATCAGCTGCAGCAGGGTCTATATGAGATGAGTGCATAGAGCCTTGGGTGGTAGCCAAAGATGGGGGTCTTAGCATTTTGACCCTGACTTACCAAAGCTGGTATATGGGACATGGAATGTCGCTTCTTTGGTGGGGAAGGAGCCTGAACTTGTGTGAAAGTTGAGAGGTGCTGACTAGGGCATTAACAGAGTACTCGAGTAATCTACACATCGATTGCTAGGACATCTATCGAGGTTAAAAATTTAACATCGAGTATCCGTAGTGACGTCATATTATGTGACCACCGTATGACCGTAGGGGGCGGTGTTGCACTGTTGCAGGTCACAGAGTATGGTGTAACACCGGGTCCACCGAACCAGAACCAGTTTCGGTTTAAGTTTCGTTTTTGACGTGCTGCATGTTTCTTCACGTTTGCAGTTTAATAATAATAACTAATAGTTGAAATTTTCCTGTGACTTATTTGCAGTATGATAAATGGTAGGAGGATAATATACGCTCCCAATGTTTTGTTGGTCTTTATTTTTTTTTAAATAATTACCTTTTTTTGCAGTTTTATTTATTTATTTATTTTTGTATCTTGAGCTCTATGACATCATCAAATACTCGTTCTACTCGGGTTTTATTATGTTAATGTCGAGTTTAAAAATTATACTCGTTCAACCCCTAGTGCTGACTAGATATAGTTGGGCTCACCATGATGCACAGCATAGGTGCTAAAACCAATCTTCTTGACTGTGACTGGGCTTTATTCCTCTCTGAAGTTGCCCATGGTGAAAGGGATGGCGTGTGGGTCTACTCTTAGTCCCTCACCTTAGTGCCTGTGCATTGGAGTTTTCCTCAGTAGTTTAGAGGGTAGTTTCCCTATGCCTTAAAGGTGGGGGACTGGCTCTGTCTATTGTTTGTGACTACATGCTGAACAGCAGTTCTGAGTACCCAGCCCTTTTGAAGTCCTTAGCAAGGGGTGACGCTGGAAGGTGCTCCAGCTGGGGACTCTTTTATTCTGCTTGGGGACTTCAGTGCCCACGTGGGTAGAATGACAGTGCGACTTAGAGGCGATTGATTGTGAGGAATTGCCTCTCTTTTCTGAATCAGAGCAGTGTTTTGTTGTTGTACTTCTGTGGTAGTCATATTTTGTCCATCACAAACACCATGTTCAAACATAAGGGTGTCCATATGTGCACATGGCACCAGGACACCCTAAGCTGCAGATCAATGATAGACTTTGTAGTTGTGTCATTTTATCTCTGGTCATATGTTTTGGACACTCGGGTTAAGAGAGGAGCTGAGCTGTCAACTGATCACCATCTAGTGCTGAGTTGGATCAGATGAAGGGGAAGATACCAGACAGATCTGACTGATCTAAAAGTGTAATGAGGGTTTGCTGGGTATGCTTGGCATACAAAACCCTAGAAAATTCTTCAACTCACAGCTCTGAGAGAACTTCAACTATATACCAGCAAATGTGGGGTACATTGAGTCCAAGTGGGCAAGTGGGCCGTGTTCCACGCTTCCATTGTTGAGATAGCTTACTTGAGCTGTGGCATCTTCAAACTCTGTGGCATCAAGCTGAAGAATTAGTCCTATTAAGCCCTGTTGGCTGGTAGGACTTTGGGGTCAGCTGAGGGCTGTCAGGAGGCAAGTGGGAACAGCCCTGGCTGTTGTTAAGGCAAAAGCTAGGATGTTGGAGGAAATCAGTGAGGCCTTAGAAAGATATGCTCGATCAGCTCTGAGAAGATTCTGTCAGGTGGGGAAAGCAGCATTTTACTATCTGTATACAGTTGAAGTGGAGTATTGATGACCTCATCCCGTGATGTCAGAATCAGAATAAGCTTTATTATCATTGCACAGAGATACAACGAGAATCAGGTGGTTGAAGAGTTACTTTTTGAACCTTCTCAATCCCACCAGTACGTCTTCCATTCAGGAAACTATGGAGCTAGGAGCTATGAAACTAGAAACTAGGAAAAGGATTTGAGGTAGTTTGGGCATTAGGTAAAGATTCTCCCCGGATGCCTCCCTAGGGAGGTTTTCTGGGCATGTCTGACTGGAAGGAGACCCTGGGGAAGGCCCAGGACATGCTTGAGGGATTATGTTTCTCAGCTGGCCTGGGAAAGCAACTTTAGTCCTCCCAGAAGAGCTGGAAATGGTATCTGGAGAAAGAGATGTCTGGACCTCCTTGCTCAAGCTGCAGCCCCTGCTATCTGACTCCAGAACAAGAGGAAAATAATGGATAGATAATTGGATAGATGGATAAATAATTTAATAAATATGTCACATCAACCCTTACTGAAAAAGGAAGAGTTATTAGGATTTCAATGAACTGCAAAAGCACAGTGAACCTAACAAACAAAAATCACAGTGAACCTAACAAACCTACCTGCTATCATTAGAGTTACAGAGGCTGGTCCCAGGATAGAAGATCCAACAGTGAACATCTGATAGAAGATGTAAAGTCTGGAAATGGACGAGTTTCTCTTCACTGTTTCTTTACCACTGTATTCAAATAAAAGAATAATTAGCATTCAGATAAGTAAAGCTAAAGTACTATTAACAAAGTCCATGCTCAATAATCCAGGTATACAATCCAACAATTTTCAGTCAGGTCATCTGGACAGTTTCTTTTTTTTGTTTTTGTTTTGTTGTAAAAGTACTATTACTAAAGTACTATTTAAATAAATGTTTAAATGAGGAACCATTAGATTTGAATGTAAACCCTAAAAATTACAGATAGATTTGATGGGATGTTTACTATATATTTGATAATGGTCAAAATGGCAGACAATGTGTTGATTCCCAAATATTATTGTTATATTATACAAACCTATGCAAAAGGTCCAGAGTATTAGCCAGCGTAGAAGGGCCCCATCGTCTCCTCTGATTGTAAAACTCTTTGAATTCTTGCGGTGAATTGGTGTATGCATCTGAAGCAGCATTGTATTCGACGCGCCATCCTTGTTGTAGTAGCAAGGTACACAGCCAGCGATCCTCCCCTGGAAAAGTATAAAAGTCAACATCCATCTTTGGCTCAGAGCAAAGACAATAGTTTAAACTAGGTGAGCTAAAATATAGAGGCATGTTACCTTGGTCATACTGCACATATTGTGCTCCTTTTGTTGCAGTTGTTGTGTATCTCTTCAGAATGTTGTCATCCATTAGGGCAGAACCCCGAAACAGACTGAAACATCCTGGACTGCACAATACAGAGCCAAACACGTGCTCTGCTGTCTTCTGAAGCCAATGACCTACTGCATATTCAAACTTCTGGTACCACACCATGGGACCTGGAAGGGTTGGTATGGTATAGTAAAACTAATTAGTTGTTTAGTTTAGTTTTCCTCAAATTGCCAGTTGTTTTATGAAGCTCTACATTATGTTGGATTCCATTAAAAGTTGGGACACTAAACAAATTGTTAATAAAAACTGAATGCAATGATGTGGAGGTGCCAACATCTAATATTTTATTCAGAATAGAACACAAAGCACAGATCAAAAGTTTAAACTGAGAGAATGTATCATTTTAAGGGGAAAATCTGTTGTTTCCAAATTTCATGGCATCAACAATTCCCAAAAAAGTTGGGACAAGTCCATTTTTACCACTGTGTGGCATCCCCCCTTCTTCTTACAACGGTCAACAGGCGTCTGGAGACAGAGGAGACCAGTTTCTCAAGTTTAGAAATAGTAATGCTCTCCCATTCATGTCTAATACAGGCCTCTAACTGTTCAATCGTCTTGGGCCTTTTTTGTCGCACCTTCCTCTTTATGATGCGCCAAATGTTCTCTATAGGTGAAAGATCTGGACTGCTGGCTGGCTATTTCAGTACCCGGATCCTTCTCCTACGTAGCCATGATGTTGTGGTTGCTGCAGAATGTGGTCTGGCACTATCGTGTTGAAAAATGCAGGGTCTTCCCTGAAAGAGATGACGTCTAAATGGGAGCATATGTTGTTCTAGAACCTGAACATAGTTCTCTGCATTAATGGTGCCTTTCCAGACATGCAAGCTGCCCATGACACAAGCGCTCATGCAACCCCATACCATCAGTGATGCAGGCTTCTGAACGGAGCGTTGATAACAACTTGGCCTATCCTTGTCCTCTCTGGTCCGGATGACATGGCGTCCCAGTGTTCCATAAAGAACTTCAAATCGTGACTCATCTGACCACAGAGCAGTCTTCCATTTTGCCACACTCCATTTTAAATGACCCCTGGCCCAGTGCAAACCTCTGAGCTTGTGGAGCTTGCTTAGAAATGGCTTCCTCTTTGCACTGTAGTTTCAGCTGGCAACGGCGGATGGCACAGTGGATTGTGTTCACTGACAATGCTTTCTGGAAGTATTCCTGAGCCCATTCTGTTATTTCCTTGACAGTGGCATTCCTGTTTGAGGTGCAGTGATGTTTAAGGGCCGAGAGATCATGAGCATCCAGTAGAGTTTTATGGCCTTGACCCTTACGCACAGCGATTGTTCCAGATTCTCTGAATCTTTTGATGATGTTATGCATGGTTGATGATAACTTAAAAGTCTTTGCTATTTTACGCTGGGTAACACCATTCTGGTATTGCTGCACTATCTTTCTGCGCAACAATGGTGGAATTGGTGATCCTCTTACCATCTTGGCTTCTGAGAGACACCGACACTCTGAGAAGCTCTTTTTATGCCCAATCATGTTGTCAATTGACCTAATTAGTGTTAATTGGTCTTCCAGCTGTTCGCTGTATGCTCAATTTTCATTTTCTAGCCACTTATTGCTACTTGTCCCAACTTTTTTGGGATTTGTTGACACTGTGAAATTTTGAATCAACATATTTTTCCTTTAAAATGTTACATTTA